TTAAGCTTCAGCTTTGCCTGACTGATAAAAAAAAAAACAGAACAATCTCGTACAAAATTTTATATAGTATATTAAAATATTGTATTTCACAGGAATACACAAGGATGTTGAAAGTCCTTCCGAAGGCATGTCAATTGAAAATGGATTTAAAGACAACAAAAAGACTAGTGGCGACCTTATTAAAGAGGGTGACTTGAACGATCCACGACAAAAAGATGACGAGGAGAAAAATGGTAAGAGATGATTTGTACCGACTTATTTTCTTTGTTTGATAGTTATGTGGTGACAAAGCTGAACTATTTTGTAAGTCTATTCAACTCTTAAGCTTTTTGCTGCAGAAAGTATATAGTTTGGCCCTGCAAGTGTATTTATTTGTCAGTCAATTTTTTTCTATTTGGGCTGCCATTTATGCTCCTTTTGAAGAAACTCTTGAGCTTAGGCGGTACCCCTTAATGAATACCTTTTAAGAGCAAATTCCCACAAAAATCAAACAAAATCAAATTTCTTCCGCAAGGCTAGAAAACACAAATTCGCTCGTCTTTTGCATATAGTTAGCCCCTAACAAGAGTGCAAACAGGCTGTAGTTTTTTCCTTGAAATAGTTTTGTCTTTCCGAGAAAAGCNACGATTTAACTTTCAGACTCAATTTCATGCAATTTAGCGAGTCCCAACTGGGCTGAAAATCGACCATTTTCATTCGATTCGCCTTTCGCAACTATTGAGCGCAGAAAAGTGTTAATACAACCAGCTTATTGCAGAACTATTCCTTGTCTAAAAAAAGGACGATTTCAAGAATATTGGATTAATCTAATTATTTGGCAGTAAACTAAACCAGAGTGTTCTCCAATATTGAGTTAGTCAGTCGGTGAAAAAAATTGTCATTTTGACCATGTACCATGTCTCGGAATTCCGAAAGATTTTAGATTCTAACCGATACTAGAATAGGTCTTTCAATATATGTAAACATAAAATGGAACTAATTAAACCAACTTTATCGGTTACTATGACATCAAAATTAACAAAAACACACAAGCGCGACATCATTTCAAAAGTAACATAATGCGAGTCACTTAATTTTCGCGTCATATTATGTTTGCGACACTTATTTTCCGTTTTACTTTAATTTCGTAATTTTTTAAATCACGAAATTCGCGAAATTACCGTGTCGCGAAAATTTCAAGTAATAAGGTAGCTTTTCTAAGCTAATATAATTAGCAGAATCTGCAATATGAAAATTTCACTTCCATTTTGCATTTAAAGGTGATTCTAAAGACGCTGACAAACATTACGGCCAGGACAAGGACGATGACAAAGATGATGAGCAAGCTGACGATAAAGACAAAAACGATAAGAACAATTATGATAAGGATGATGCCAAGGACAATGACAAAGATGGTAAAGATGATGATGACAATAATGATGAGGATGATGATGATAGCGATGAT